TGCGCCTGGATTTTACCATTGTCGTTATGTTAAGGTTCACGGCGGTTTACAACTGCCCATCAATTCACCATGATTTGATGTATCACTCAAGCTTCACAACAAAACAATGATTCACCATATTTGACAATACTTACTAAGGGCAACATGTAGCATGTACTCTATTGGATTAGTGAACTCTTCCTGTTGCCAGATTCGAGCTGAATCCACGCCTGTGCATCCATGGACTGGTCGGGCTGCCTCAAACCGCTGCTTTTTTCAGTGGCCAACAAGACTAAATCTATATGCATTTTGCGACTGAAACACGTGCAACAAACCAACTGGTAGCCGCTCTCCGACATGTTTTCCCCAACAAAGACTACTCAACAAGGAAAAAGTCCGGGCATCTTTGCGTACAAAGACATTGCAGCACACCTCTGGGTAGGAAAGTCCGGTCTTGGTGGTTTTGGGTATATCTTGAGTATGTATCACCAGGGCCCCTGGATGATGCTTAGATTGCAGGCCTCTCAAAAAGTGATAATCTTTTGTATCAATCAAACCACTCCATGTATGGAACAAAATACTTCAAGCCTTATTGTTCCATATTTGTTCAAGCCACTCCATGTATGGAACAAGGGCGAACGAACAAGTGGTATACCCCGTATGACCCTCCATCACACCTGGTTCCGAGGGACTGCCAGTCCGGAGGATCGATCAAGATACCCAAACACTGACCGTATACGGATCCAAACAAATACAGTACCCTTTGCCAGGGGCCCCACACACCATCCAAAACCTGGTCGTGCCTAGCAAAACAACACGGCTTTATGTGAAAACTAAGTGAACACCTTGAGTTTTCATGGGTTTGAGGGCCGCTGGTGAGAGGGTTATTTAGCGACACTTGATGTAGCCTTGGAGGTCCAAGTACCAGAGATGTGGATCCCGAACGGGGAATTGGTCTGGAACCGAGGCCAGGGGGACGTCTTTGCCTGGAAAAACAGGGTTACACAAAGGGTCCATCGAATCTGTTCATATTCAGGTCGACTACCTACCACCCCCCCAACCAACCCCAAAACTGAAGGACAAACCTAGGGATCTTCGGTCTGAAAGGTCGGTTGTTCTCCACCGGACACGGCATGGACGTCCTACGTCCAACGTCACACGTGAGGTCCACGCGCGCGAGATCCCCTGGGTTGGTTTAAAACCACCAGGTCGGAGTGACCGTTTTCATCGGAGCCGTCATCGCCTTAGCCCACCAGCTCGGGGTAAGTGGACACCTGCGGACCTGGAATGTGAGATTCCGTCCTTTTTGTTGCCCGAAACTTCAAGATGCTGTTGTGCTTCCCCCACATGTTTGCTTCCTTTCAGAAGCTACATGGAGGTGCCAAAAAAAAAAACAAAAGGCAAGCTACTTTGACATCTTCTTTCACAGCAAATGGATCCTTTAAAAAACAAATCTGTCTGCACCAGTGGTGAAAACGGCCATCCGAGACAGACTGGAAAATCGGAGGCAAATGCGGCAACAAATGGATACGATTTGTACAAAGCTCTTGGAGGCTTGGAAGCGCGGCAAGGAGAAACACGCTTTGAGCGAGGTGACAAGACTGCTGTAAACTGTTGCACTTCGTTCCACTTTCTTGTCACTTTCAGCTGCAAAGTCTGTGATTTGGGAGCTTCCGTCGACAAGGTCTCCGTGGTCGACAGCAGCCAAATCCCAGACTCTGCAGCGTTTTACCCCTAGGGCTCCTGGCCTACCTCCTGAGAAGACGCTTGGGGACCTTCGGAGATGGTTGGAGCCCTAGGGGCACTTTGCCACGTTTCTTGAACCAGCCATCGGTGACAAGGATACGGCAAAATTGTTTGTCTCTTCCAGATCTGCGGCAACTGTGCCGACAGCACAGCCAGCTAGTGTATACATCGGGTCTATCCAATTACCACCTGTAACAGTGGATGATGATGGGGCCTGGTTGCAGGACATCTCTAGTTATGTTCTTGAGAAACTGGCTGTTACATAAGCTGGAGCCGGCCTTGGCAATGTCCCCAAAAGACACGGCCTCAAGGCTCAAGACTTTGCTTGTTGGGTTCGGACCAACCCAATGTCTACAGCTTTCTGTCGAAAGGTCATCGGTCGGTCGTCCTCCGAGACTTCAACCCAGCGAACCATCGAACGCTGGGCGAGCAAAGCAACAAACGAACTTCAGTTGCATATATAAGCTTCTTCTGAGGCATGGTTTCAAACAACTTCAATGCGTTCCATGCTTCCAGCAACTGCCTCTACCTCCAGCAGGTAGGGATGGCGACATCGTAGCTCATGACAATTGGCTGCACCCATGGCCTCCAATAACTTCAATGTTTCCTGCCGCTGCCCATCCTTCTCACAGGTACCGATGGCTGCGCTGTAGCTAATCACATTGGGCAAAAAAATTGGCCTGTGGCATGTCCTCTATCAACTTTAACGCTTCCTGCCACTGCCCACCCTGACATGCACTGATGGCTGCACAGTAGCTGATGACAGTTGGTTGCACTTTGCTGCTTGGCATAGCCTCAAACATCTTCAACGCTTCCTGCCACCGCCTGCCCTTCTCGCAAGCACTGATTGCTGCACTGAAGCTAATGACATCTGCCTGCACCTTCGCCTTTGGCATAACTTCTAACAGCTTCAATGCTTCCTGCCACCGGCCGCCCTTCTCGCACGCGCTGATTGCAGCATTGTAGCTGATGACGTTTGGCTGTACGCTGCCCTTTTGGATGGCATCAAACAACTTCAAGGCTTCCTGCCATTGCCCACCTTTTTCACAGGCACTGATGGCCGCACTGTAGCTGATGACATTTGGCTGCACTTTTACTTCTGGCATGGCCGCAAACAACTTCAATGCTTCCTGCCACTGCCCGCCCTTCTCGCAAACACTGATGGCTGCACTGTAGCTGAACACATCTGGCTGGACTTTGACCTCAGGCATGACCTCAAACAACCTCATTGCTTCTTGCCACTGAGCGCCCTTCTCACAGGCACTGATAGCAGCATTGTAGCTAATGACCGACTGTCTAACTTTTGCTTGTGGCATGGTCTCAAACAACTTCAATGCTCCGTGCCACTGCCCACCCTTCTCACAGGCACTGATTGCTGCATTGTAGCTGATGACGTCTGGCTGCATCTCTTCCTTTTGGATGACTTCAAATAGCTTTAATGCCTCCTGCCACTGCCCGCACTTTTCGCAGGCACTGATGGTCGCATTGTAGATGATGAGGTCTGGCTGCATTGTCGATTTCTGGATGCCCTCAAACAAAGTCAATGCTTCCTTCCATTGCCAGCCCTTCTCACATGCACTGATCGCTGCGCTGTAGCTGATGATGTCAGGCTGAATTCTAGCTTTTGGCAAGGCCTCGAACAATTTCAATGCTCCCTGCCACTGTCCACCCTTTTCG